AGCCCTCCATGTGCTCGCCAGAGGTAGCCTTACTGCCATTAGGTACCGAGTTGAGATCCTCAGACCCCTTGTGAGACTATATGCTGGTGAGGTTGGCCCTGGGTTCCTCCTAATGCAAGACAATGCTAGACCTTATGTGGCTGGAGTGTGTCAGCAGTTCCTGCAAGACAAAGGCATTGATGCTATGGACTGGCCAGCCCGTTCCCTAGACCTGAATCCAATTGAGCACATCTGGGACATGATGTCTCGCTCCATCCACCAATGTTATGTTGCACCACAGACTATCCAGGAGGTGGCAGATGCTTAAGTCCAGGTCTGGGAGGAGATCCCTCAGGAGACCATCCGCCACCTCATCAGGAGCATGCACAGGCGTTGTAGGGAGGTCATACAGGCATGTGGAGGCCACACACACTACTGAGCCTCATTTTGACTTGTTTTAAGGACATTATATCAACGTTGGATCAGTCTGTAGTGTGTTTTTCCACTTTAATTTTGAGTGTGACTCCAAATCCAGACCTCCATGGTTTGAAAAATTTGAATTTAATTTTTACATTTTTGTGTGATTTTGTTGTCAGCACATTCAACTATGTAAAGAACAAAGTATTTCAGAAGAATATTTAATTCATTCAGATCTAGGATGTGTTATTTTTGTGTTTCCTTTATTTTTTTGAGCAGTGTACTTATGTAGAGCAAAGTTCTAAATGTAGAGAAATCACTGAGAACACCAATTGAATGTTTATTCCAACGGTTTCACTTTTTAACATTTAGCTGCACAATTCTACTAGTTTTCTTTAAGCAAAACATCTACCTTCATAAATTAGGTCATTTGTTTAAAATTGTCTCTTTGGAAGTAGAATACAAATTAGGGCAGATAACAGCTTCCATTTTTAGTAAATTCACCAATTGAAGCACAAAAGACAGGGAAAAATTGCTTTGATCTTGTACTACCAAACTAAGATCTATGTAGGAAAATTAATAAGTAAATACCTTCATTTTATCATTGTGGCATTTGGGAGTTTTAAGCACTGTAGTCCATTAGTCAGTTTTGTTAATGACTGTGCTACCCCTTTAATCATGTACAGCACTTTGGCTGAACAGTATTCAGTTCAAAGTGCCTTTCAGAAACTTGAACAGAATTAATCTGAAATTAAGTTTAACCTGTACTGCAATTTAAAAGAAAATAAATACTTTTCAATATTTTATACATAAATAATGGTAGATTTTCCTATTGCACATCATTAGCTTTTGAAAATGGGGAAAAAATAAAAACATTGAAAGAAGAAACCCATATATTGTTTAGCTGTACAAGACATATTACTAGAAGGTCTAGATTAGTTGTGTGGGCGAGTAATGACTTCATTCTAGAATTTATCCCGTCCAGCTGCAGCAGCATGCTCATCAATTTCACTTTCAATTATGCTTTTAAACTCCCATTTGGTTTCAGTCCGTGGTATATAATCTAAAATAAGGTTAAAAAACAAAAACTATTTTTTCTTTTAGTTTTTTTTAAATATATGTTGTGGCCACATAAATTAATTTATATGTCCATATTAACCATCTTTTTTCATTTGAAAACCTTTTAAAAAAAAAAAAGGTAGCAAAACGAGTAAAAAAAAAATCATTGTTTTTTTCTTTGTAACAAAAATAGTGCTAACTATTACTTCTCAAAAATAATATAAAATTAGCACTTTTGGGCATATTGACATCTTATTTAACACAGACTTAAGTGAGATGTGTTATATGCTGCTAATATGTTAGTTTCACTGTGAATTTTATTTAAGATTAAATGTGCCAAATTTACTACAAAGTGTTACTATCTAACTAAAAGAACGAACACATTTCTTATTTCTCATAATTTCTTTGTTAACTTTTTCAATCTTGAACAGCGTTATTAGCTAAATTCTGGCTTGAGAGAAGTTCAGTAACAAACTCAAAGTTGAGCAGAACAAGTAAAGTAGTAAGTGAGGAACTTGTGTGCCTCCTTCTGTGTACCCCCATGTGTGCACCGGCTATTGCTACTTTGAAAATTGTATGGAGAGACCAAGGAAAGTTTAAACTTTTACTAACCTGCACAAGTCTAAATGTCTTTTTAATAGGGGTAACCTATGTTTCTGTAATCCTGATTGGATTAGTGAAAATAATCGGGGGCTGTCCATGACATCCAGCTAAAACTTGTGGACATTGGTCAGAAGATTTATCAATGTTCAGATTTTACAAATGATTCTCTAAAAATTACTTTGAAAGTAGTCTAAATGAAATAGAATGGGTGAAAGCTGAAAACAAATGGCAAAATCCATAAGTGAATGCCCAGTTTCAATAGATTTCACCACTATCTGCCTGAAAATTTGGTTACACTACCATACCACATACAGGTCTACTTACACTACATGCTACACATATATAAACAAACATGTCAGAGATAAAATAAGATATTAGTAGAAAGTAGGACCGGGCACTCAAGGTTTCTTCAAAGAAGCAGATTTATTGAAAACTGAATGTGCAAAGTTTAGACTTCACCGAGGCCTTTAAGGCCAAAACGTTGCACATTCAGTTTTCAATAAATCTGCCTCTTTGAAGAAATCTTCAGTGCCTGGACCTACTTTCTACTTATATCTACTAAATTGGGTTTTGCCAACCCAGTCTTTCAGGCACCTGGTCTTCACTGTGAGAGTGTGGTATCCTTTATCTTAGAGATAAAATAAGAGACATGCATGACATGGGCACAAAAGACTAAAATTAAAATGTTTACTAAGTTAAACACATATTAAGTACTTATTTTATATATTTTACTCTATAAATATGATGCACAACAGTGTATATTAAAATAACTCTATGATGATGATGATGATACAATTACAACCAAATGGAACATTCCTGTTATTGAGGAACTATCTGATGATGATACAAACAATTACAACCAAGTGGAGTATTCCTGTTATTGAGGCAAAAAAGATACATGCTTTGTACCCACTTGATCTTTTGCTTTTCCCTATTAAACTTTAAGGTAGGATTAAACCCTTTAAAACATTGATAGTATGTGTTTGGTTGGCGTGAAATTAGTATTCTCTGTAGCTTCTGTCTCAGAAGTCTAAAGAAACTTAAAGAACATTAATAATGGCATTATCTTATTATTTAGTTTAGTTGCATCTCAGTCTAGTCCCATCAATACAACATTTATTCTAATGTATATTTCATTATTTATAATTCTTTATTTTTTCGTGCATAGACATTATACATAATCCTGTCATGCTCCAACAGCAATAGCGAGACTAGCATGAAGTATATTCGTAACATTGCTTGGAACATGTGTTGAACTGCACATATTTTTTTTTAGGACATTGTAAACAATTATGTAAGTCGGTTGTGTGTAGTGGTAAAAGAGGAAAGAAGATGTGTGTCACAGTCTCACAGTGCAATTGTGAAGAGGTTGATGTGGTGGGCTAATATATAGGCCTCGTGAAATGGAGGAGGTAGCTCCAGAGGGTACAAACCCACAAGAGTAATTCTAGGCAGATTATGTGTTGGCCTATGTAAGAAGATAGGAATGATCTTGAAATCAGGGTGCTACTCTCCCTAATTAAGCCCCCTATCCAATGGGTTACAGGGGAGGGGTTGTAGCAAAAAACGATTGGTATAAGCTTAACCTGATATAAAGGAATAAAAATAAAACAATTTTAAAACAATTATAACGCTATACAAAGGATAATCTGTTTGAGCGATCAGGTCACAGAGTTCTGGTCTCCGCCAGGGATGAACGGTGTGATCTGGGAGACATCCCACAAGTGGGAGGGTGACATGGAGGAGTGGGGCCACACCAGAAGGCATAAAGTCTGTAGGATAGTGGGATCCTCCGCTGGACTCGATGCTCTGTATGGAAGGTAATGTCAGGAAGCAGCACCTATGGTGGGCTTCTCAAGCTCAGGGCAAAAAAGGAGAGAGGACACAAATATAGTGTAGTATATTTAACTGCTGGGTAATAGTAAATAAGGGAAGAAATGCACTTACAATCTTCTGGAGCTTATATTTAGCTCCAGATATATGCACCTGGATGGTACAATCCCCATCTACGCATATGATGATGATGATGGTCTTGATGCACTTACATAGGCATCTTCAGGGGTAGGGGTGTTCCTTTACCAAACAGCAGCAAATCAGCAATCCAGTATTCTCAGTGCATAGAAGGGAAGATAAAAATACAATATAGTGCTCTCCATATGGTCCAAAATACAACTGGAAATAGAAAACGGAGGTATACTCACAAGCTAGAAAGAAAATAAATGTTGCTCAGTATAGAAGGCGTAGGTGGAATGATCCCTAGAAAGGATATTACTTGCGAGTACTCAGGTTCATGGCGATAAAAACTAATGGATATTTAAAACTATAGTTTAGGTGTCTACAAATAGCATAAAATAGCTATCTTTATTGGAGACAAATAGAATAAAAACAATATAGCAAAAGGGCTTTTTAAAACACTAACATGTTTCACCTGTTAGCAAGGCTTTTTCAAACACTTTGAAATTCCAGCAGCCAAAAATACAAGCACTAATATATTCCACCCCCTTTGTCTCCTGTTTGATGATCTGTATGCCTTTCAATCTTTGGTGACTGTGAGGGATCTGGGGTAAGTCCAACTACAGGGGAGGTTTGCTGTCAGCAGTTCCTGCGTGAGAGGTTTCATTGATTTCCTCCAGACAAGTGTTGCTTTACTCAGGTCTTGTAAGAAGGTGATTGTATGGGATTCAAATTGAAGTGCAGTTTTCACCCATAGTGCATGCATTAGCTGCTGTTTTTCCACATATGTCTGGCAGCAGAGGATAATATCCCGTGGGGTGTTGTTAGGTGCCTGGGAGGATTTTGAGATCTGATACAGCCCGTCGCAGACGAATTGGTTAGCGAATTTGGCTGGCAGGACTGTGGCTATGAGGTGTCTGATAGAATGAGGGAGCTCATCTGTGGGAATAGAATCTGCTACTCGTCTGATTTTGACTTTTTTTGCCGACCTTTATCTTCCAGAAGGTCCACTCTGGTGGTTAGTTGAGAGTGCAGGGTTTGCAGGTGCTGCAGTGACTCAGCTTGGGCTTGCATGCCTTGTTTCAAGTCAATCATGTCCTCTTCTGAGGCCTGGAGCATGTTAGTTATGGTCTGCATCTCAGTTTTCACCAGGTTTAATTCGGCTGAAAACATGTCTTGACAGTGTGCTAGTAGATCATGAATGTACGGTATGATGGTGATTCCCGAGGTCGGAAAGTGGAGGCCAGCATCAAGCCCATATCTTGGTTTTTCCCCGTCACGGTGGTCTCTGTGATTTGCGCCCCATTGGTGCGTCTGTAGGTGCTTCGTCTGTGCTTGGATGTGACAATGTGGTGTCGAAGCTGGTAGTGTTCCAGAACCCAGTCTCAGGCAGCCATGGGATCTCCACGTGGTAGTCCCATGATCCTCAGAATGTTCTTGCCTGTCTTGTTTGCCCATCTGAATAATTACCGTGAACCTGACTCTGGCTAGTTCTCGTTTTTGCTGTCTCTCCGTTACCCAGACCTTGGCTTGTATTTTGACTACTCTTAACTCTATCTGAGACCTCACTTGGAGTATTGTATGCAGTACTGAAGACCGTATCTTCAGAAGGATATTGATACTTTAGAGAGAGTTCAGAGAAGGGCTACTAAACTGGTTCATGGATTGCAGGATAAAACTTACAGGGAAAGGTTAAAGGATTTTAACATGTATAGCTTGGAGGAAAGACAAGACAGGGGGGATCTGATAGAAACATTTAAATACATAAAGGGAATCAACACAGTAAAGGAGGAGACCATATTTAAAAGAAGAAAAACTACCACAAAAAGAGGACATAGTCTTAAATTAGAGGGGCAAAGGTTTAAAAATAATATCAGGAAGTATTACTTTACTGAGAGGATGGATGGAATAGCCTTCCAGCTGAAGTGGTAGAGGTTAACACAGTAAAGGAGTTTAAGCATGCGTGCGATAGGCATAAGGCTATCCATATAAAATTATACCTGGGATTTAATGAAATACCACATACTTAGCGGAAAAAGAACCACCTCCCACACGTGACTAGACGCAATTGCGTCACAAACCACCCCAAAAAGTACAGTGGCCGCAAAAGGAATACGGCATCTGAAGTCTGAGGGCATGCGCGAGAAGAAACCCAATCACGCATGCGCGAGAAGAAACCTAATTGCGCATGCGCCAGAAGAGACCCAATTGCGCATGCATGCAGAACCAAGACACACATCCAGGGCAACAGGCAACACACAAAAGTGTGTATCAGCCCGTATATATGTCCCCAGGCTAAACAAGCAGTTATGTATCATATCAAAGGAGAGCCAAAGAGATAAAAAATAAAAAATAAAAAGTGAAAAAGAAGAGAAAGAAATCAAAACAAAATTTTTTACAAATTATATAGGCAAATAATAATAGAAAAATAATAAAAATATAATAATAGAAAAATAATAAAAAATCAAAAAATAATAATATAGTAAAACAAATAATAAATAATAAATAAAATAAACATAAAAAATTATGAAATTTGTTTTAATTTTTTTTTAATGTTTCTATGTTTAGTAAGACATTTATATTTCCTTTGTCTATTCCTTGCTTAAACTCTGCATGTTAGGGTTATACTCAGTGACAGTATGGTGGGAATAACCAGACTATAGCCTTTCAAAAGCACACCACCTAATAACTTTTCCCTGTGGATTTATTACTGTTTGGACATGTTATCTTCTTATTTGCTGAAGTTGTGGCTTGAATAACATTTAGCAGTGTCTAATTTTGGCCATTTTTGCTTGTAATATTTTTCATGCAGCTAGTTAAATGTGTCTTGACAATTTCAGACTATTGACAAGTACCTCTATATCTGAGTCAGCTCCATTGTTGGGGTATCTGTGACTCTCAGACCAAATTCTTTGAAAATTTTTATACTCAGAATTTTCCTCTCCTTTCTGTAGAGCACCTATTAAGGTTTGATAAGAGACATGTGTTTTATTACCTTTTCAATTTCTCAGACCAAATTCATGATAAAGTATCAGCAATTAACAAATGTCATACTCAAGTACATTCCAATATCTAATCATGTATCTGTAGTTTTAGCAATAGCAATAGTGACCAGCTTCACTTGTAAATCATATACCATAGACAGAAATTTTAAAAGCTTTACAACCAAATGCAATGCTTAGTGTATCCTTTTCTACTTGAGCATACTTGTATTCAGTATCAATAAAAGCTCTGTCAACATATGCAATAGGCCTATAACCTTTGCCACCATGTTGCAGAAGATGTTCTCCTGGTCCAAATTTAAAGGCATCTGTAGAAATTTCTATTTTGCATAATGCATTAAAGTATTGCAAAGTAGGGGAATACTGAGAGGTTTTTCAGTAATCAGAATTCTTCATTTCTTTTTCCACTGCCATTAAACAGCCTTTTCTATATATGTTACCATACCCAGGAATCTCTGGAAATCTTTCTTGTTGCCAGTGGATTTTGTTTTCTCAATATCATGTATTTGACTACCTCTGGTCTAATGCATTTGTTGGGGTGATATTTTCTAAGTAAAACAATTTTGCCAGGTGCCAGGGGCTCATTTATTGCCAAACTTCCATTCATGATATTGCTGACCATAACTGCACTGACAAGGATGTTGGAATAAGATTTTTTACTTCTCAGATGTTACTTTTCGACTCTGGTTAGGTTTTACCCTTAAGCACAGACTAGGGATTCTTAATGGTCTTAAGATAAATTGCTCATTTAGTGTATAGGTCCCCAGGAAGGCACAGTAGCATATTATTAGGCAAGTTTACAATTTTATGCTTAATTCGGGTTTGATTTTCTGATTTTCTTTAATGTAAATCCACTATTTAGTATCTCTGGAACTATATTTAATGGAGCTTCATGATTTCCCTCACTTGTGGGGTGGTGAGAATTTTGACTGTATAATACTCATATTTGTCTAAGCAGTTAGCAAAAAAGTAATCTATGCTTTTCCTTGCAAGCTTGTTGCACAAAATAGTTTAGTTAATTGCAACTATGTTTCATTTTATCATTTAGACACATTTCTAATTGGAGACTTTCTTTATATGAGTTTCAGACCAATCTAGAACTGGATAGTTCTAGTAGGAATATCTCAATCACCATCCAGGTGCCTTTTGGAAATTGTGTCAATTTACTTGTTCTGAGTGTTTTCAAAAGATAGAAAATAGCCTTTTCTTTTCTTTTGAAATTCTTACCTTAGGGGTTAAGCTCCAGTAAAATATCCTTGTACTTTGTTGTGATAGCTCTCTACTTATTCATTCAGTAAAAAGTAGTAATATGGAAAATTACAAAGTGTGTTAGCAGATTATAGGTGCTGGTATCTTGGCCACCCCATCAGACCAAAAAATGAAATATCCAAAATAAAAAAATTGATACCGCACTCAACATGAAGAAAAGTTAAAAATATATTAGCAGAACATTGCCATATACCTGAATACAACTCCGTTTTCTATATCACAAGAGTGAAGAATTATAATCTTAAAGTGACAAGTGACAAAAAATTACCAAGTGCCTAATATGTGCTTAAAGTGCTAATATAAATAAAATACACTATCAACGTTCCTATATGTACAAATCTGTATACAGCATGATCAATAATCAATCCAGTATACTTTAATTCCTGCAGGGAAATAATCTTGTTTGTAGTTCACTAGTTGCTTTGTGTATAGTTCATTCCATCAAGAAAAGATAATTCAACAAATAATTAATTTCAGCAGTGATCATATTTGTTGTAACATACATTGGTTGTACTGTATACTATAGTAAAAAATGTTTGCAGCAAAGGAATTCCACCCAGCAAAAAGATGAGAATAAACAGGCAATATCTCCCGATATTGCAAGAAAATGTGTATATAACTGAATTATTCTATGTGCACAGGAGGTATATATATATATATATATATATATATATATATATATATAAAAAAAAAAAAAAAAAAAAAAATGGAAAAGGTGAAAAATGGAAAAATAGAGAAAAACTGTCTGAATGTATATATACATATTACCTGACAAGAATGTGGATTAGATCTCATAGAAACATAGAAACATAGAATGTGATGGCAGATAAAAACCATTCGGCCCATCTAGTCTGCCCAATTTTCTAAATACTTTCATTAGTCCCTAGCCTTATCTTATAGTTAGGATAGCCTTATGCCTATCCCACGCATGCTTAAACTCCTTTTACTGTGTTAACCTCTACCACTTCAGCTGGAAGGCTATTCCATGCATCCACTACCCTCTCAGTAAAGTAATACTTCCTGATATTATTTTTAAACCTTTGTCCCTCTAATTTAAGACTGTCCTCTTGTTGTGGTAGTTTTTCTTCTTTTAACTATAGTCTCCTCGTTTACTGTGTTGATTCCCTTTATATATTTAAATGTTTCTATCATATCCCCCCTGTCTCGTCTTTCCTCCAAGCTATACATGTTAAGATCCTTTAACCTTTCCTGGTAAGTTTTCATCCCACAATCCATGAACCAGTTTAGTAGCCCTTCTCTGAACCCTCTCTAAGGTATCAATATCCTTCTGAAGATACAGTCTCCAGTACTGTGTACAATACTCCAAGTGAGGTCTCACCAGTGTTCTGTACAATGGCATGAGCACTTCCCTCTTTCTACTGCTAATACCTCTCCCTATACAACCAAGCATTCTGCTAGCATTTCCTGCTGCTCTATTACATTGTCTGCCTACCTTTAAGTCATCAGAAATAATCACCCCTAAATCCCTTTCCTCATATGTTGAGGTTAGGACTCTATCAAATATGCTGTACTCTGCCCTTGGGTTTTTACGTCCAAGATGCATTATCTTGCACTTATCCACATTAAATGTCAGTTGCCACAATTCTGACCATTTTTCTAGTTTACCTAAATCATTTGCCATTTGGCTTATCCCTCCTGGAACATCAACCCTGTTACATATCTTAGTATCATCAGCAAAAAGACATACCTTACCATCAAGACCTTCTGCAATATCACTAATAAAAATATTAAAGAGAATGGGTCCAAGTACAGATCCCTGAGGTACCCCACTGGTGACAAGTCCAAGCTTCGAATATATTCCATTAACTACAACCCTCTGTTGCCTGTCACTCAGCCACTGCCTTACCCATTCAACAATATTGGAATCCAAACTTAAAGATT